CTTGTTAATGAGGCCAGCTGCAGGCGGAAAGAAAGTTCAAACATCTGTGGCATCCTTTTTGATATGTGAAGACATTGGTCCGCACAAAGACAAACTCCAATTTTTCCTGCTACACAGTATCATTGTGTTTGGTCTCTTGCCATTTCATTGTTATGCCTCTTTTCTTTCTTTCGTCCTGTCTTCCTCTTGTCATTCTCTATCCTTGCTCCTTCCTCGCGTTTAGCAGCACTATTCCCACATGCCCTCCTTCCTATTTTCTCCCGGCCCATCTGCAGTGTCTTGCAGTGCTATGGCTAGCATGCTAATGCATCAGATCTAATCTTAACTAAACTAAAAGCTTCCTCATTTTACCCCCGTCTCACAGGAGGACACTGGCGCGGGAAGAACAGCTAACCCACCACACCGTTGTGAGATGCTCTCACCAGCTCCAGGGGTTAATTAAAAATCTATTCATCAAGTGGAAACAAAGGAAACAGGGAGAGAAGGGAATAATCTCCAGTGAAAGACACTGGCTTATTAATATGAATTTACACAGTAGAAAAAAGAAAAATACAAATTTTAACACACTTACCTATCTTAATAAAAGTCAAATTGATATTGAATTTCAGTTTGTCCTTTGAATGGATTTTGTTAGGATAAAAATGAAGCTTAAGCTGTGAGACCAAACTATTAATTCTTTATTACCCTGTACTATCTTCATTCTATTTCCATGTCCCTCTCTTTACCCCCCAACACAACGCTAACCCTTGTATCCCCTCCTCAACTCGCTCCATAATCTATTTATTCTTTCCATTTCTCTCTTCCTCCCTATCTCCCTCCGTGTTCCATTTCTCCATGTCATCCTCGCACGGTATATTTTTCTGCCTTTCTCGTTCCCTTTTATACCACTTACCCCCTTCTTCCCTCCATCTCTCCTTCTCCCGCGTTCCTTCGTCTGTTTCCATATCCCCCTTAGGTGATGCACAAGCAGAGTGCTGGGTCTGGATCAGAGCAGTTCTGTGATCTTGATGGGTTTTCGCCTCTGGGTTTGGACATGAATTCTGGTCACTCCGATACACCAGAACACACACACTGTGACTCACTGCGCACAAGGCAAACTTTCCCATATGATTCAGACCCAACAGGTAGGTTAAAGAAGAGAGGTATTTTTAGATGTGCGTGTATGTGTGCCTGAATTTTTATGCTTCTGTTTTATTGAGATTTCTTTCCTTTAAACTGGCTCATGTTTTCCTATAAACTACATCAGGAAGTGCCGTTGCTTTTTTTATGCTTCAAGAGATTAGATTGTGAAGATTACCTTTGTGTCCAACTTTTGCCTGGAGATACTTTCCAATTTGCAAGCGTTATTCATATCACAAAGGCCTCATAATAGGATTTAGAACAAATATGTAAAAATGTAGAGCTTACAAGAGAGATGAAAATGAGTTTTAAACCCAGAGGAGCGCTGGCTGCTTGGTGGAAAACGAGAGATGGGGGACAACACTGATAATTTACTACTGGTGGGTCCAAGGGGAGCTTTCCTGAGATGCCTTTTTATTTTCTGTGTGTATGTGTGCATGTCTTTGCCTGCACATGTTTCTAAGCCTGTGTGCTTCTTTTTACTTATGTTTAGTGCCTCCATTTTCTTAAACTGCTGGTGAACACAGGCACAAAAACAATCCATATTTCCTCACACAGACACATTCACAGACAACACAGCCTCCTTTTGTTCTTGTTTCTTTCCCAGCTGAAAGTGTAGATAATAATGCTTGTGTCCTTCACATGCACACAAAAGTTTGCTTTGACTTTACCTTTGAGAGGAAATGTTGAAAGGCATATGTTGTCAGTGCAATGTCATCTTTCTTATACTACCCCCCTGGAAACACATCATTTAATCAGTCATTACTGTCCAGAAAAATACTGGAAAATGCACTTTACAAGATACAAAAAGTCTAGCGCAGCACAACTTTGTATTTTCTTTTTGTATTTTAGTTATTCATGTTGTTATTAATTTACTTTTTATATATTTGATTATTACCCATCACTACCCTTTGCTGGTGAGAGAATGCATAGACATTTAATCCCATGGTTTTGTTTTTGTTCATCCTCCTCTTCTTTCCTTGCTCTTTTCACCTTGAACTACACCAGACAAATACTGCTGTAACAAGATGGTTTTAGAACTTCTGACGTTGACTGTGTCTGGGTGTTAAAAAACATTTTCTATTTTTTTCACACTAATGATTGGTAAACTGGCCATGTCTGTGAGGTGCTCAGACTGTCCAACAAGGCTGTACCTCCAAATTGCTTCAGGGTTAAAGTAATAACATTTGGATTGCAATAATTTATCTTGGTGCTCATTATACCTCGTACTCATGTCCAAGGATGTTGAATTACATGCATTTCAAACAGCGGTGACTGTTTTGATCGAGCACGGATTTCTAATTCATACTTTGTGTGTAAACTGCCACGGCCCGAAAGGATCTCATCAACCTTTTCCTTCATCGAGGCTTGTAGCCCAGATTTTCACTGTTTCGTTGACAAGCCCGCGTTAAATGAATGAGGTTGACCGTGAGAGACTCCCACAAGGGCACCACTACCCTCCTCGCACCATGCAGCCAGCCGCTCATCAAACCCCGCACTGTCTCTGCCACCATCGTTAAAGCTCCAAAGTTAATGAGAGAGAAAGGTTAGAGAGGAGGAATATCACCTTGACAACACTCTGCACTCATTTATGTCCCTCCATCCCTCCATCTGTCTCCTCTACTTTTTTTCCCCCAGCCAGGGCTAAGATCCAACAGGTTTTATATGTCTCCTGCTCTACCTTTCCACCTCTCTCTCCTTTCTTACTCCCTGTCACCCGGTCAGTCAGAAAATGAGGTTGTTAGTGTGCAGTTTCTGTCTCATGTGCATCCAGTCGAAGAGAAAAAAAAAAAAGAGAGAGAGAGAGAGAGACAGACAGATAGACAGACAGGCTGGACAGTATTCAAACCTCCAAAGACATAGAGAGGAGAGAGAGAGAGAGAGAGCGAGAAGAGATACAGACAGATGTATGGAGAAACTAGCAGTAAGATATGGTGAAAAGCAGACAAACAGGTAGACACTCAAGCAGCAAGGGAATCAAAGACCGGCAGAAAAATGGATAAAGAAACAGACAAAAGTCATTTTGAGAGAGAGTTCTTTTTTTTCACACCCTCTCAGTTTTCTTTGTGTGAGTTTGGAAGCTTGCTGTTTGACTCCTGTCTTCCTTTCCTCTTTTCATTTGCCGCAGATTTAGACTAGTTAGTAGATTCTCCATCCAGTCAATAGTATTAATTGATTGGCTAACCACTGGAGAGAGAGAAGAAAACAGCAGTAATTGCATTGCAGCTGTCAGGATTGGCTGAACAGGCTTGTTAAGCAAGATTGGTTTGGTACAGATGCTGCTGCTGAATGGACACGTGGATTATTGTATCAGATTTAATGGATATGTTGTGATTTGAAAATGTGACTTTTGCCACTCGTGTGGTTGACTCAAAAAAGAGGCTGACTGACAGCAATGCGTGAGGGTGAACCATGACCTAGTTTTACTTTTTAAATTGATAAACAGCCGTGGAAATGAATGACAATGTTCTATGATTCACACAGCAGCTTTCTGTCAGAGCCAAAAAAGTTATTCCATGCATTGGATCTACACGAAATCACACACTGTTGGAGTTAGATTGCAAAGCAAATGCATTGCTATTTCCATTTGTTAGCCATATGTCTAACTGATAGCAGTGGGACTGTCTTCGGATTTCATTTATCATGTATCCAGATATTCCAAATGTTTTTAGAGAATGTAAAGGGCAATAAAAGAACATGAAAGTGGATAGTGATGGGATGCTTTTTATACGTTCTGCTGTATACATTATTTTTTAAAACACATTTTACAGCTCAGATTTGATGTGTGGCCCCTCTCTTAATTTTTCTCTCACTCTTTTAGGGCCAGAGGGTTACGAGCCAAGCAGCAGCCTCAGTATCTGCACTGAGGAACACCTGGTTTTCAAAATGATGAAGGACAACCACACGCAGCCAACTGGAATTCAAATTCACTCAACCGAACCCACCAGGAGAGGAGAAATATCAGGAAATGAACTAGGAACATCTGGTAAGTGTATGTGTATGTGTGTGTGTGTATGTGTATTTGCACGCTTGTGTGTCTATCTGTGTGAACACTATCAAACTTGCTGAACTCTTACTTATTCTCTCATACACACAGAACTCTTATTTTATACACAATTAACACACCTCATTTCTGCATATAGCCTCACTTTCTTGGCACTGAGTATGCACGTTTCTTAAAGAGATTATACTGTATCACTCTCACAACACACACACACACCTACACACACAGGCACACACGTCATATACACGCGTACTGTGCACATGCTCAGGCAGGACTGGGAAACCATCCAGGAATATGTCCACTCATCACTTCCCTCGCTCAGACCCCAGAAACACTGCAGTAATCTGGTTATGCTGATACACACACGCACACATTGACGCACACAGACACAGACACCTGAGAGACAAGACAATAATCTCTTTTGAATTCACAGGATCCACTTCCTCTCTCCCTCCTCACTCGTTTTACTGTAAGCTACTGCATTTAAATCTGACCACTTCATCCCGCTGCTCTGTTCTTTCTGCACTGTCAAGCCATTTAGCACTGCTGTCTGTTGTTTTCTTCATCAATCTTGTCCACTCTTTGTCATGTGTTATTTCTCTCCTTACTCTATTTATTTGCAAATTTGCCCTCTAAGGTAAATAGTTTGAGGCACTGAGGCCCAAATTGTGCTCACTTGCCTTCAGGTATACTTGTACTTGAAAGGAGGTCCGCACTTGTAAAACCTCTTGAGAGCGCAAAACCTTTTCAAGATGTTTAATTATAGCATCAGAAGGACTCTCGAGTGCTCAACATTTTCAATATTTTTAATTCCACAAGGGAACCTAAGCACAGGCGTTTCGGCAAGTTGACTCACTCAGTGTGCCTCATTGTACTGTCTTGTCAGTGTGACGCTCCAGTGTGCTGTGTGACAGCACTCTGAGGAGGGCTTCTCGCCCAAACATCTGTGTTTTGGCTCCCTTGTGCCATTAATGAATGTCTTGAAATAGTTTTGTACTCCAGTGCATCTGAGAGTGGGGAACTCCTTTTCAAGTTCACAGCATTTGGTTTACCATTTTAGTTTTTTGCTGGCTTCATAGACCCTAGTTATAGCTGATGTTTTAATTAGTCATGGAAAAAGATACATATGTTACTGAATGCATCTTAATATGACTTACAGTGAATAATGAGCACATATAGCGCATGCAAAACGAGAATGATTTAAATCTGACTTTCTCCGGGAACTCTTGAAGGAGGTCATTTAGAGAGATCAGATTTTAATCTCACTCTCAATTTACACTGAATGCATTTTAAATTGGGCACAGAGCTTTATCAGTAACCAAAATCGAGATAAATGTCGTATCTGATTTGAAATGGAAGTGAATTGAGTCTACGGGTATGTGTGAGTGCACGCGTGTCAGCGGCACTCATTCCTCCCATGCTGCTCAGTTTGACAGTGCAGGTGGTTGTGAAGCACTAAGTGGAGGTTCTGTGCCAGCTGAAAGACAGAGCCAGGCGCTGAGGGGCGGGGAGGGGAGGGAGAGGTAAGGAGACAATGGAAGATTGAAAGAATGAAAGCCTTAACACTGGAGCTGGTTAGACAGCACGCAGCATGAGGAATCAGTGTGCCGCTCACACATGCACCCACGCCATCATAGCTTCTCAATGGGGGCCGCGATGTAATTTACAGTGAGCAGGTGGGGATGGATGTTCAATCTGATTCAATTTGATGTGGCTCGCAGTGGAGTGGGATGAGACACCACTCATTCCACTGACTGTTGTGATTGTTTCTCTGTCTCTCACCCTCTTTCCCTGAATCCCGAGCCGCATGCACCTCCCCTTTTTCCTGTCTTCTTCTGTCATCTCCTCTTATCTCTTTCTTCCTCATATCCATAATTACATCTATTCATCTATCCTTCTGTACATTTATCCTTCTTCCATCTCTATCATATCTCTCTTTCTTTCTTATTCAGGGTCAGGGTCTCACCTGCCTGGCAAGTCCACGCCAACTCTCTCTCGGGTTCCTGCTGCCTGCTTCCCGCTCCGTCCCACATTGGGCTCAGAATTGGGTCCAGCATTTCGTTCGTTGTCCCGAGCAGCCCAGGAGATCATGGAGATCTGTAGTGTGGACCAGATGGGCTGTGAGGACCCTGACCTGGACACTGAGACAACTGCACACACACTCCACAAACTGGAACAGGAACTCAGACTCATGGCTAAGGATGCAGACGTACACATAGGTACATTTATAAATCATGTATGCAAACACAGCATCATGGTATGGCCATCTCCGATCAACATATTACTCTGTATTTGATGTTTTATGTTAATGGTAGTAATAACCAAACAAGAGTGAATTAATGTTAATTCTAATCATATTTGATGAATTGTGAGTTATAGTGCTGCTAGTGGTTTTAAATTAAGGCCATAAGCATTAACTTATCTTAATATCTACCTCAGAAACAGGGAAACAGGCTTCAGAATTTGGTGCAGGACACAGTGGAAGACAAGAACAGCATGGAAATCATCACTTCACACGGTGAGTAACATGCAAACACAAAATACTGCCATCCAAAAATGAGCGTGTCTCACATTGTCTGCTGCCTGCTTGCTCTGAGCAGGTGGACAGATCAGCACTGTGTTGCTCCATGATAATTTGGTGACTTTATTTGGCGAAGACACGCCCATATTATCTTCTATAAAATGAAAAAAAAAGTTGTTATTCTCATTTTCAACCAGCTGAGGTTGTATTCCAATTACTCATAAATGCCAGCAAGAAAAAATAAAAATTAATGAGTGATTCTTACAAGCTCTGTAATCCACAGCAGTTAGTAGTCTACACTGAAGGCCATTCCTTTACTCTGGTGACTCTCTTTACAGGCATCTGAAGGCAGCAGGTGTCTGTTTCATCTGCAGTCTCTAATTGGGGTGATGTTGTCACTGTCAAAACACAATTACGCATGGTGGTTCCAATGGTTCAATTTTGTGCAACAAGAACCAGATAGTTTTAGAATAACCACAGAAACCTTCTACTGCAGAGTAAATCAACAGGTGTGTTGGAGACGGATGAAAACAACTCACACTGCTCCATTTAAAATTGTAGATCAATTAAAATGTCTCTCTCCACTGATAACATCTGATAACAACAGTAACATCAGGACTGTCCGGGTACAGCTAGACGTGGGACTGTGATGACCAACATAGATTAGATAGACATTGTTTTAGTTTACATTTTATATTGTGTATAACATTTATTTTTTATATTTATACTGGATTTAAAGGGGATGAAGGTGGTGTATATGTTTGGCTGTGATTATCACAACCTCTAATATGCTCACTTATAATGTATGGTAATCTTATCTCTCTGATCCCACCCTGTATCCGCCGGATTTATTAAAATAGAGCCCCCCATTTGTTATTGTTACAGAACCTGAAAAAGTTAGTATATCGAGTTCCACCCATTAGGACATTTGCATGTCCACTAGAACTTAAAGTTAGTGGCTGCAGCTTAGATAGTTGTTCACATTTCCATTCCAATTTGATATCCTGAAATGCAAATATGCTTTCTTTCCCCTGTGAGAATCTCAGTATAGTCTTGTAACTTCCTGTTTTCATACTGTTGTCTGTGTCTTTTCACCATGATCGGCATGTAATCCATTGCTTGCTCGCTCCCTACACTTCCCTACACTCCTCTACTATCCAGTGGTCACCATGGGGGGTAATCCCTCCTTTTTTGTGCTCTGTCAATCCCCCTCTCTGTCGGATATGTGGAGTGTGTAATGGATCGTTAGCCAGCAGAACGACTTTAGCTTTGACAGCATCTTGGGCATCAGGCCTTAATGTGCTTCTTAATGTGTGTGTGTGTATATGAGACAGAGAGAGAGTGTCAATGTGTTTTTCTTGTATTTCTTGAAACTGAGTGTGTGGGTGTGTGTGTCTGTGCGTTGTTGATCTTTCACGCGAGTGTGTGTAGTGGGCATAATCTGCGCTAGAGGCCTTGTGCTGAGCAGAGCACTGTGAATATCACATTGAGACGTGTAATAACCGGATTAACACATACTACACAAAGGGGTTCCAAAAACAGCTCCTTACAACCTTCAAACATGCACACACACACACACACACACACACACACACTCAGACATGCACACGTATACACTGATGCACTTAATCGTACTAGTTTGGCATAGCTTTACAGGTAGTGTCTTTTGTTATCTTCGTCATTACTGTCACATTTCGTCCAGTCAGGCACTTTTTGGTCAATGTGACAGTATTCAGTTCATACAAAAGTCAAAAGTATAAGGTCCTTGAGATAAGAGGAACTTAACCATGCAATTATTTGGATCACAGCTGTAACATTAGTTACAGCACTCACTGAAATCGAGAAATACAGACTTATTTTGGCAATGGATCCACCATTCTGTACCTGAGAACAAATGTTTAGACTGAAATGAAACCAAAAACAAAAGTATGTAACTTGTATGTATATTTAATTTTTCTCTCGAAATGCAGTTTGTATAGTAAGATTGTTAAAGTCTTACTCACATACTGCACCTTTAATATAGGTGTATACTGTACCGTCCACACAGGACCCTTCAGTTTAATGCCCCTCTCAGCCACCAGGTGCTCACAGAGGCACAGTTGTTACTTTAATAGATAGCTGTTCCTTTAGACGAAGTTGATGCAGTTGCATCATAGAGCGGATGCATGATTATGGAGTTGTGCTGTAGAGTGGTCTCTGCTGCCCACCATCAAACAGAATAACAGTATAATCAGATCAAACTCGAGCGGCTTTATAATTTAGTCTTGTATAAAACATTTAAAATACATAATATACATTTATTTTGGTGACTAATCCAGTAATAGGACATGTACGCTCTAAAGTACACCCACACAACACACAATTGAATACTGTGACAAAGTGTATTACGTGCAGGATGTGTACATCCATTGATGTCTTTGTCAGCTGACCTAGCCTGTGTTTACCTCATATCCAGACAACTATTCATCATCTATCTTTGCTCTGACTCAACTGCTTCCAGCTGCCTGTGCTTTCCTGTTGCCTCAGTGTATTGGCTGTCTTTGATCTAACCTTCAGTCAGTACGTAGGTGCACAGCAGTATCACATTAATATTTGGTAAATTGACATATTCTGAATATTCTGATGCACGCTTTATACAGTACAGGATTTGCCATAATAATAAGGAAGCTTTAAATTGTTTGCACTTTAAGTCTAACCAACAAAACCTGTTTGGACATCTAACCCTCTATTATATATTGAATGTATCACTCACTCATCAAATATCAGAGGAAAATTTGTGGATGCCTTGATGACATAAAAAGACAGGAGGTTTTCTAATAAAACTCAGGCCACCGAATCTGTTGGAGGATCACTACAGGCTGAGGCTGACACCAACAGAGCAACTCCTCTGGTATCCTGATTTGACACCAGCGTCATTGACATTGATATGCCGGCTGTCTTTATAGAATCCAAAGTTAATTTGGCCTTGTCATAGTTGAATGCAAACTGGGAGACGCTTCTCCTAAATTTCTCAATAAAAAAAGTATGCAGGCCCATTGGTGCAGTTAATTGTACCTCCTCAATGCCAGGGTTTTATTGGTCGGAGCCTTTTTACTTAAAATTTTCTACCTTTGTCTTCCTGTTCTTTAGAGGCAGAGACATTCCGCAAGTCTCAAACAACTTGGATTTGTAGGTGAATTCAATGCTGGATTCAGATTTGATAAAATCCTGTCAAACCGCGACCCTGGTGAAGCCCAATGCAGATGACACACAAACTTTCAGCTGCTGCGCACGTCTGAATATATCACTAATGTGTCTCCATGATTCGTCTGAAAGAAGTTCCAAAAGGCTTAGTGCATCTGTCCTTTAATCATAGGCTGGTATTTGAGTGCTGTGTGTGTAGGATGTTCTGACTTTGATTGGTGGATTTGGTCTTGCAGGGGCAGAGTCAGCGAGGAACAAAGGGATGAGGAGGCGGCTGCACAGAGAGACCAGCAGAGTGTCCTCTTACTACCCTGAGATACTCACATGCACGCACATAAACACACACGCTTGTTAAATAACAACAAATCAGAAGACATGCACGTGTAGATACATGTCTATGAGAGAGTAAAGCATGCAAAAACACATCATTTTAAATTGTGCTCACGTGATGTGAAGACCCCTAAGACTGAATCTTGTGCAGATAGATGAAAATAAAAATGTGTTGCTTTGAAAAAAAAAAAAACATTGCTGAATATTGATTAAATATTATTGTGATTAGAGTTATGGTTTGTCTCACTTTTTGTATTTGTCCATGTTTTTTGTGAACAATGTTTATGTTGTGTGTGCTGCGAGATACATGCTTGTCAAAGGTATGAAGCCAACGATGAGACAGTCAAAGGATGAGGACAGGAGGGGAGGGAAGATTAATAGTGAGTTAGCTTTAATTCTCAGCAGTAGTCTACTTTTGTGTTTGTCAGCGTGTGTACGTGAGTGTGTGTTAAATGACAGTCAGCCGCTGTGCCAATTCAACCTACAGGAGTTGAACGAACAACATTTTTCTCTGTGGTGATCAGTTTGTTTCTTAATAAGGTTAGGATGGCACTGGATCAGGTCAGATTGTCTACACACACACACACACATATTCACACACACGAAAGAGGCTGCTGCAGGTGATAAATTATGTTTGTTGGGAGGGAATAAGGAACCGTGCCAATGGCCGCTGCTGCCATCTGTGTGTGTGCAGGAGTGGGGGGAAGATAAACACCAGGCACTGGAACTGGTTTGTCTCTGTGGTGAATGTGTACATGTACTGTTGGTGTGTTTTTTTCTCAGTTGTGCTGTTTTGCATTACACCCCACAGCCAGTCTTAACGTATCATGGCTGCCACTGTCCTCAGATGAGTTTACAACCCACCATCCACCACTTTATCTCTGGCCAATGGGCATGTGAGGATCAAACAAGGACACGCAGGAGAAAATCACACCATTATTACACAACCAAACACACAGAGAGAAATTCACAGGTAGAATGGATGTCAAAGATGCCAACTTTGTGATTGCATTTAAGATTAAGGTTCATTTGTGCACTGCATGTGGTTATGTGTGTGAATATGAGTGTGAGCGCATTGGGCCCCCGCTCTTTACTTCAGTCACTGCGGAGGGATATAAGGGTATTTTATTTGTCCTGACGTTAATCGCTAGAAGCGGACAGCAAAAGCCCTGTAATCCAACAGCAATCACCACAAGACTGATTGATAGCACAGGGACAGGGAGAGATAGACAGAGAGACCAAGCGATAGACAAGGAGAGAGAGAGGTGAAAAGGTAGATCTTTGTTATTGTGTCCTTCACTGAGTTTATCACTTACTGTTTAGGAGAGGAAAATAACAGAGACATAAATCTGATGGATATCGAACCGCTAGGCCGGGTTTAAACAACTGTGAGATCTGCACGCGCTCTTTCTCTCTCCAGCTCTCATTCTTCCTCATTCTCTCTCTTACCCACATTCACACGCTCATGCATACAAACAGGGAAAGAGAACGGAAAAAGAGAGCTGACCTTTTTTTGATTTGGAGTCGTCTGTGATGTTGTTGATGCTGTCAGAAAGACAGTGAAACCGGAGGAGTTGACATTTAACTCGACTATATTAACTGACCCTTCTCAGGAACTGGAGTTCAGACTGGGTGTGTGCAAAAAAAAAATAAGCAGACGGATAAATACGCTCGGTTATAAACTAAGTTTTTGTTTTGTTCTCAGGTGAATTTTGTAAACTTTTTCCTTACAGTGAATTTTGAGAGAAATCTTGTACCTTTTTCATTTTAAACAACACAGCGGACATTGGTGGCAAATCTAATAGAAGAGTGCGGTTCCATTTTTCCCGTCTCTCTCTCCCCAAGAGTTGCTGTCATTTTTACCATATTAGTTATTTTGGTTTTCATGGGTTTTGGCATTTTCTTCCACAGCAAGGTACACGGTGGAAACATTTTGTTCTGCCTCTGGCTGCCTGTCCACTTTTTCTGATGAAAACCCATTCGATTTCTCACCCAGAATGCCCTGAAAGGACTCCCTTGTTCACAGAGTCTCACAAGTCACCTACAGTGAGCTGCAAAGGACAGCAGCTGCATCCATGTGTGACAACTTGATCCCACAAATAACCTGAAAGGGGTAAAATGGAACAAAGGGTTACACCTAATGTAGAAAAGAGTTGTTTTCCCTACTTGTTCTTCACTTTTTAGCCTCAGTCCTGGGAATCCTATGTTAATATTTTACTGCACATACTTGTACTCTTCTGTCCTTTATATGTTATGTGTATTCTGTAGCATCCCTGTCACTAAACTACTACTAAAGGGTTTTGCCAAATAGGTTTTGGATTAAACATTTACACTTTCTAATAAAGTGATTCCGATAAGGGAAGTGAGGTTTAGGCAACTGCTTTGATTTGCCTAAATGTGACCATAAAGCGTTTATCGTGCTTTAGTTGCCACAAATTAATATTGAATAAACTGTTTATGTATTAAAGTTTCCTTATCATTGTCAGGCAGGTGAGTGTGAGGCAGCGGAAGGACCCAAATGCAGATGGTCCAGGCAGTTAGGCAGACAGAAACTACAATGATCTGACAACCTACTGGGTAAAAAGGGGTTGGTATATGTACTGCAGGGCTCATCAGGTGCAGCTCGGGAGATGGGCGGGGAAGCTCAGGCAACTACAGAGCAGATGAGGGAATTGGGAACTGGTGTGGAGATGGCTGGGTCAGTCAGTTGATGGGGAAAGGAGGAAAGGTCATCCGGTGGATGGAAGGAGAATGGCAATGGTTTGTGGTAGTGGGAATGTACGTAGTAGTAGAAATAAGTAGTATACAAACTTAAGTCTTGTGATATTTTACACATGTCATGTCATGAGCAGCATGCTGTTAGGAGTGGTATGGAAAATTGAGGACCACACCAGCATCTAAATGGACCAAACCAAGTGCTGTTTGCAGGTAAGTTTACAAGCTTTCTAATGAGGTTCAGTAGGGGTACAAAACCTGAAGTGAATGTAAATATTTTAACCAGCCACTCCTGGTAATAGACTACCATTGTTTTTTTTTTTTTAAACTGGTGAGTAAAGCAAATCTATCAGCCACATTCTTATTTTATTAGCATTGGGCTTGTGATAATATTGTGGCCTGGCTGCAACTGAGAAGCCAATTAGCTAACTAGCTTGAATTAGCAATGAACTTTTCCTCTGTGAATGTGTGTTTGGACACTCATTAAACAAAATAATGGGAAAAAAAAAATATTACTTTTAATTTTCTCACAGGAAGTTATGTACCAAATATTAATGCTGTTGTGAAACGCCCAGATCTATCTTTGAGCATTTAAAATAAGAAAAGCATGATGTTACGAGAATCAAAATGGCAGAGAATACTACATTTACTACAGTGTTACTGTATAGATGATCACCAGTTCTGGTTATATGTCTGTATGTTCCTGCATGGTACAGAAACTGTTGACCTTGACAACACAACAAGATTGAAGCATACACCATCAGTCCTTTCATATTTTACCTGCGCGCCTCTTCAAGTGCTATCTACACGGTTGTATGAATGACTGGCTTTTTTTTTCGTCTATGGTTGTCAGGTTGGAGGCATATTTGCCGTGGATGTGCCATCTAATCATGTCCCATGTTGTCTATTGGAGCCCTGCTGCCTCATTACAGGAGAAGGAGAATACGTGTCTGTCATCTGTGAAACATAAAAAGCCTCATAGCTACTTAGTTTGTGCGGGCTGCCGTATGCGTCTACCCTATTATTCCATGGCTCTGTATAGATGTTGCTACAAAGTGTAACTCTGGTGTGGAATGCCTTTGGCAAATGGTGAAAGATAATAATGGGATATCTTGTTTGCGCATGTATGAAGGCCACATATGTCCTTATAAAAAAAATACTCTGCGAGCATGAGCTCAGTTATCTTGCTGTTTAGATGGATAGATACATTAAATTGTCTCAAGCCAGCTATACCGTTTTATTACACCAGAGCCCAAAGGATTCCATATTTCTCTTATTTTAATAAACACAAATCCCTGTTTTGTGGACATATAGTACTATTATGTGTCACTGACTACGGCGTAGTCACACGTTGCAGCCCACCCAGCTTCACCTAAGCTGTGGCTGGATATTACTTTCAAGGTTACAGCCCCGACGATACTCAAATGACCCATACGCTGGAGATGGAAGTACAGTATGCCCCGGAAAGAATGTTCGGGCGGAGAAAGTTATAATGGAGGGGAGGAGAGAGGGAGATGAAGTGAGAAAATATAAAGAACAGAGAGGTTGAGGAGGTGGAGGATAGAAATTAAAGAAAGGTGAACGAAGGACATGAAAGAAATGGGGTGGCACTAGGAGGGAGAACGCTATCTAGTTTGATAAGGAAATGTATTTTCCGCCCTCCCTTTGCAGGTCTACATTTCTCTCCCTCCCTCATTCTGTCTGTCTCCACCTCTTCCTTTTCCTCTTATACTTCTTGCATCATTCCTCTTTCAACCATTTCGTCCTTACTCCACCCTTTTATAGTCCTTCCTTTCTCCTTCACGCCTTTTTCGTCTTCCCCTCCTTGCCAACAGTCCCTTCCTAATTCCATCTCTCCTTTCCTCATGTCTTCTTCCATTGCTGTGCTTTTGTCTTTCCACCTCTCCATTCCTTTCTACTTTTAATCTTTTCATTTGTCCCCTGCTCCCTCCTGTTCGGTGGCAAGTCCCGGTCCCCTGGCTGAGCCACCGGGATCCGCTGACAAATCGATACATCACTGTAATTGATTCTGTCGGGGCTCAAAGTGTTTAATGAGAGCCCCCCCTCCTCTACCCTCGTCCTCCCTCTCCTCCCTTTTGCACGTGGGCTTTGGCGCAGGCCAGTTTAATGGTTAATGGAGCGGAGGCATCCAAGTGCAGCAAAGTGCTGCAGGTGGTGGGTGAGGGAAAAGGGGCAGGATTGCGAGCCAGGTGAAGGGGTTTGGGGTGGAAGGAAGGCAAGTTTGGGGTGTTGAGGGTTAATCAGAGCAGTTCCCAAGGTGATGGACTGGTCCAGCTGGTTAATTAGGACAAGTAAAGGCTAGATGTAAAATGTCTGGCCTTGGGAGAAAAGAATGTGCCAGGTAGGAAGTAAGAGTGTGTTCAAGTGTGTGCGTGCTCATATGAGCTTTTAGTTGCTCACAGCTT